CACTCCTCTGGCCTGCGCCCCCCTCTTGGGCCTGCTCCAGCATTGCCGACACTCCCGGACCAGACGGACCATGTCCAGTCTGGGAGAGCTAGCAACCCCTTTCCCCACAGCTTCAGATCCCGCCCCGCCCCACCCGTGTGCGAAGAAAGAGTGCCAGTGCTGGGCTGCATAGAGGGACAGCCCTGTGTGAGGCCCCCCCCCCAATTTTTTTCCCAAGCTTTGCTTTCAGAGCACATAAAAAAAAGCCTCCCCACACCATAAACTAACACCAGTAAATATAAAAAGCACAGGAGAGAGGAAACAGCACAGGAAAGGCAGCAGTGTGGTCAAAGTCCCAGCATGGAAGGATGAGACTTGGGTCCTTTTCTTACCCAGCTCCCACTCACTTTTGTTGTGACCAAGTCATTTAACAGCTTAGTTTCTTTCCCTGTTGTTAATACTCAGCCCCATAATCACGTTGCGACTCCTGCATAGAGTATGATGATTGCAGATACAATTTCTTTCGCCAACAGGTGAAAAAATATTCTTGCCTGTATCAACAGACACTGCAATTCTATTACAGTAAGATAAAAGCGTGGGGGGTGGGGGAAACAGACTTTGTAGACAAATCAGTTAAGCTGTGTCCTTTCCAATTAGTCAAACCCACTTCCCACTAATGCAGGAGAGTGAGGAGAACAGATATTTTAAAATGTCCTGGCCAGACCCCCCCATCCCCATCCTGCTCCTGCACCCTACCTCCCACCCAAGTCCCCCCTCCTCCACCCTCAACCCGCTCCTGCACCCAGCCTCCTGATCAGACCTTGCACCCCTTACTCCATCTTGCACCCATTTTGTCATCATGGGTGGTAGGTTGGTGGTCCGCAAAAAGGTCTGCGTAGAGCGGGGTGGGTTGCAGGCCAAAAAATTTGAGAACCCCACCTGTAATGAGTTTCGCTACCTGTAAGGGCATCTTTCTCTGCACACAGCGCTAGACAGATAACATCTATATCTCTAGACGGTTTAAGACCACATAAGCTTAGGGGAACACAAAATCTAGATAGGTTTCTGTGTATACAGTTATGTATAACTACCAGGTGAGGCCCGTTGACCGGGCAAGTAATTTTACATAGATTACACTTATAGGAAAGTTCATGAAATTAAATATATGTCATAGAATTTTTAATTAATGTGCTTGCAAAAGGGAAGTAAAAGATCAGCTGTAAATTTGTAGGATTTCAGCTTCAAACATTCATTTTATTGAATAATTACCATCCACAGTAAATTTGAATCAGAAACTCGTAAAGCTTCCATTATGCTTTCTGTAATTAATTTGAATTATGTTGTGATTTGTAACAGTAAACATTTTCTTTGCACTAAAATGCCAGTTGAAGAGGCGACTCGATTTTAATTTTGTTTGCAAATACTTTAGAAACTCTAATCACAATAGTCTTGACTTTTTTCTGAGGAAAACCTAAAATTATTACTTAAACCTTTCACCCAGCATATTCCGCTGTAGAAAACAGTGCATTCGGCTAATTTAAGTGGCAGGATTGTTTATGCAAAATTTGGTGGCTATAGGTAATTGCAAAGTATGACTTTATTTTGCACAAACAAATCCACAAACAAACTCTTCAAAATATACAGTAAATTCAACTCTGCCTCAACATGCTACCAAACTGGAGACAGGAGCATTAGAAATACCACGATGTAATTACTGTAACTTCCCCCCTGATTAGACTGTTCCATATAAAAGACCGTGTATCATCATTTTCTAATGCAGTAGAACACCTTGTCTGTAATTCCCACATCTGCTAGGGTGGATACATGAACTTACATGGCATGAAGGTTGTTTTCTTGGTGATAACTAGATCCTGTGCTCATGGTTCCAGCCAAGCACAGCAGAAAAACACAATCAGCAACTACCTACTTGCTTCTGAGGCGTACGAAGAGTATGAACATATTAAGGTAAGAGCAGCAGCAGGAGAGGGAAAAAGGCAAACCCGAGGGCTACATCTACACTGCAGGCTTCTTGCGCAAAAATGTGCGGAGTATCTACACTGCACACATGTTCTTGCGCAAGTAAATTTACAGTAAAGCATCGGAACAGAGGGCTTCTTGCGCAAGAGTTATTCCTCTCCCCACGAGGAATAAGTCCTCTTGCGCAAGAGCTCTTGTGCAAGAAGGCAGCGTGGATGGGCAACAGGGGTTTCTTGTGCAAGAGAGCGTCCACACTGCCATGGTCGCTCTTGCGCCAAAGCACATCTCTTGCACAAAAGCACATGGCAGCGTGGACGTGCCCTTGTGCAAGGATTTTTGCACAAGAACTCTTGCACAAAACAGTTCTTGCGCAAGAAGCCTCCAGTGTAGACGTAGCCTGTAGATACAAAAAAACCAACAACAACGAAAAAAACCCAAACAAACCATTCCCCACACACTCATAATAAATGGGATTTCACAACTCTGTTCAAAACAGTTTATTTTATTTTTTTGTCAGACAAACACATTGATTTCTGGACCACAGTAGAGGATGGAAACCTTTCACAAACTTATTTATTTGAAAATACAAATATAAAATTATACTTTCCACATCTGTGATGTGAGAGACCCCCATCCACGTAGTATTTTACAACAGGGCTTTAGAAAGCCGTACACAGAGACCTGAAAGATGCTTGCTATATAGATACAGATATATGTATATGTGTGTGTATATAGAGTTTAAAAAAAAAGTCACTACCAAAGTTCTTATCAGTTCATACTAAAGTATAAAAAGAAGGGCTAGGCTCGCCACTGTGCCATAGTTTGTTTAGGTACATTTATGACCACCTGAAATGCTTAGATTGGCATTCTATTACTGATGGAGTTCAGAACTTGTACAACAGATAATGAATTATAGTCGCTAGCCGCTACAGTCAAAAAACGACACACCGAGAATCTCACGCGTGGCGTCAGAGTATGTACAGAATACACGTTTATAACACGGGTGACTCGCTTCTTTGTCGAAGTTTTGTAGCTTTGATTTTTACACTGAAATGAAATTCTGTCAAGACAATACATTCTGATTGTTTGGAAACTTGTGAACAGATCACTTAGATTGACTTTCTTAACTACTTATATTTGGTAAATTTTATTACAGTATTAAAGTATTGCTTAGCTTACAGAATCTCCTCATGTAGTGTCCACGCACAAAAATGGGTTTGAATTAGATTCTGTACTTATGAAACTCTACAGTGTATGTATGCAGACCACAGATTCTGCCCGTGTGTCTTCAATGCATGGTCTCCCAAACTTACACTAACTTTCATTTTCCTGTGTCATCTGGTTTGCTTAAAAAAAAAAACCCAAAAAACAAAAAAACCCCAAACATCCAGGAAAAAAAATCATCCACAAAATTTCCACCCGAGAGACAATTCCACAGCATAAAAGATAACTATGAGTTAGTGTTTTTGTAAACAATTTCATATGCAATATCATATATAACCATGGCTGACCATCAATAAAAATGTAGTAAACAATATTGCTTTATTATAGATTATGTTGCATTGACTGAATGGCAGAATGAAACAGGATGGTATTTGTGGCTGAAGTCACTAGCCCTCATTCACACTAAAGATCAAAAGAGCATTATAGGTTTTATAGCTGGGGGGAGAAAAAAAACTGAACACCTTTCAGGTCATTATTACCCATAATTACCCAATGATTTAAACTAATCTAGCAAGATGTATAACATTCACCAGCTGTAGACTGCTGTACAATGAAAAAAAATTACAGCAACAGAGCCATGCTACCTTAAAGTCCAAGCTACAAATTCAAATTAAAATGAACATTATGAAGTATAGAAAAAAAAAGGACAGATAGATCAGTCTTCATTTTAATCAAGTCAATCACAAATGAATATTATTGGGGGGATGGGGGGGGTCGAGGTGGGTAATTACTCAACTAAATTTTCCTAAATACCGCAATCCCTCTAAAATTTACATTGTGTTTAGTAACAAAAGTTGTCCCACTGTGTTATAATGCAGGTCTACCAGAAATGGGAGTGGTGGATCGCTATTTGGATACAGAAAGGAAAACCCATCTGTACATTAATAGTGGACTTCCTGGGGGAGCAGGGGTTATTTTTTGTTGCCCATTTGCACAGCTAGACAGGCGGTCTCTCCTTTTTGGTTACTGCAGAGGTAACAGTTCTAAATGGGCAAGATTAGTTGTGTCAGTGCATTCACCACTGTGCTTGACTAAAATAAAGAAGTAGCTGAACTTTTGTGCTAAAATAATTCATAAAGAAAATCCTTCAAAATGGACTTCTAGATGAGTGGGGGGGACTAAAGTGAACCTTAGTCTAGGTAGCCACATCAAAAACATATCCGGTTCCACAATATTTGTGCTATGGGCCACTGGGACTTTTCAAAAGGTATATAAACATCTAAAACATATTCACACAGATTATCAATTTCTTCTGAGCATTCTTAAAAAAATATTTTTCTCTTAGTAAAATCATTTGAATATACCATGCCTCCCTCTTTTAAAAAATAAATTAAAAAAATCCAGTTTTGCATATCTAGCATTAGCATTTAAGGTAGTATGGCACACCCCCTTTCTAAAGTCAAGGGTGGGGATCTACAAAATGCTTTAAGAGTTTGCCAGCATT